TTGACCTGTTGACAGCGTACACATCCCTAAGCATCACCGTCTTCCCCTTCTCATACTGAGTATCAGTTTGCATAAATTTTTCACTCTCTACACACTACAGTGCCGTTTGTTTACCTCTTTCCGTTGTTTACTTGTTTGTTTGTTTTTTACCTGTTGACTGCGTTACAGTCTGATGCTGATTTTAGCTCTTTCATATATTAAATGTAGCAATTTGTTGTGGGAACAAATATATAGAGATAGAGCCTGCCGGTGATGAAACCGAAACGTGGATTTCCGGCATGAAACTAGCGCAACCTACGGTGCAGTATAAATTTACATTAGAAGGCTGTACACTCCTACTGGCCCAGTTTGATTCATCTGTGTTTACAGCTAAGGGATGAAATACGTATTGTTCTCGTGTCTGCTTATTTTGTCTAGCATATACTTCTTGTATTTTTTGTAATCATTGTATCATTTTTAGGCAAAAAACTCCAATATACTCATCCGAGTGTCTGTGCAGCAACACTTCCCCGAGTTTCGTAATAGCTTTGCAGATGACTGCATAAATAGCTGTTTGTAGGGGCCTTGCCAGAATAAATTGCTTGACGACAATGGCGAGTTGCACAAACGTTATGAGTAAACTGTTGCGAGCAATTCAGTTTCTGGGAACATCCCTGGAGATTTTCTCGGATTTATAAGCATGCTGTTTTAGGTAGCAGTTCCACTGATACATGTACGTGGTCCGCGGGATGGCGTTTGCTCAATTTGTTATGAATCTCAAATGAAAGTAAAGCCTTTTTTCTTCTAATCTTAGCTTACACTATATATTGCGGTTGGTTTTGTTAGTTCTCGTTAGTTGATTTGGTCCTTCGATCCTTCAGTAAGAGGCAAAAGAAATGGGAAATTAATTTTTAGAAAATGAAAATAAAACTGAAGAGGAATATTTCAGGCCACTAAGTCGTATACATTCCTTTTCAGCACCACAACCGGGTTTTGTCAATACGGCCGTTACGGTGCTATAATGCAAAGATCGCTCAGATAGTTGATGTGTGATGAAGAGACTTTGACGGGCTCTTGACTTTCCAGTGGGTGAAACACGAGGAGGGCATTAGACTGAATAATATGTGTAGTTATAAGAAATGATTCTGAAATTTTGTTCAGAAACTGTAGTTTTTTAAGTCGTTTGCTGTTTTTTTGCAGCTCAGGAAAAAGAATTTTTCCATTTTTAGGCTGTTGTGCAGTTGAATTGTGAGCACCAGACCTGTATGGAATGCTTTACCACATATCTCAAAACGGCCTTCACTGAGAATCAATTCAGGTTTTTCCCGCAAAATGGCTATACTGTCGGATGTCCCGTCTATGGATGTTCTGGTAATATTTTTGGATGCTCTTCATAAACAGCTGGCTTCGTTTTGCTCTTAGAATACTTTGTTCAAACTGAGTTTTAATTTACTGTCCATTCCTGCACTCTGTGTTCATGCCGGTGAATTATCGGGCGTTGTCCGGGTGAATTATCGAGCATCACTATTTACTGGCACTAAAATTTCATGGCGTTGCTGTCTTATGTAAACCTAGGTAGAATATATTCGCAAGTAGCTTTGGCCTCATGCTACCAGTTTACAAAGTTTTATCTCCGCCAGTGAGATTTTCAGTCCCTCAACGATTCGTTCATCCGTTCCGATGGTAAATTGGTACCAGGAGTGATAAATTACGGCCATTAGAAGGCCAAAACATAACCTTAAAAAAAGTGGACGGTCCAAAGAAATCAAATTGTGGAACGGCCGAAGTCTGAAAGTTAAAACGAAGGATGGGGTAAGATTGTCAAAATAATTTGCGACCGTTGGTAGGGCGAACTGTAATCTCTGAAACAAGCGGACGGTCCGAAGCATGAAGAATGTAGGACGGCTATAGTCCGAAAATTATAATCTAGGGTGGGATTAGTTTAATAAAATTTTGATTTAGAGTGGTATTAGTTTAATAAATTTTAGGATGCCTTCGTTCGTCGTATAAAGTGGATTTGGAAATGGTTCTGGATTTCGACTTTTAGGAATAATGGAATAAGAAGATTGTAATTAGGTGTCATGTATTATAAGACATTTCGGAAAGCTTCCCGCATTGCGGTACTCAAATTTTCGAAGCTTTTAGTAATTAGAAGGTTGTTACTGCCAAAATCCATATAGTTTTATGAGTTAGAATAGAATGCGGGTATTTCTGTTAGCTGAGTGAGAGCTTTAAAAAATCTCGTTTACTTTCCAGGATGTGTTGTCGATACACATTGTTTCTATTTGCTGGGGAAATCTGGCTATGAAGATTATCAGCGTCAAGCAGTGGAACGTCTGGTATCAATGGAACAGGATGGATTGTTTTGCCCGCGAACACACTGTGGTGCAGCGTTCTTTTGGGATTTCAGCCCGCCAGATTTTATAGTAGGTGTTGACTCGTTTCCATTTTTTTCTACTCCTACCCCCTCCCCTCCCTCCTCTTTTCTGTCTCCAAATATTCCCAAAAACTGTTTCAAAAGTCGCACTTCCTTTTTTTGAAAGTCATCTCACTTACTTTTTTTTGCTTGCCCAGTATCTTTGTAGTAGAAACTTCTCTACGACGTTAATAATCTATACATTTCATTTCTCCTTGTAGCCAAAGAAGTTCTTCATCTTGGTTTAAGAATAGAAGAGTTTGGTAGCACATATTAGTGACACCCTGAAATGGCTAGAATATTGCCAAATGCTTTTGTTGGAAGAACCGTTGAACTGGTAGTTTTTTGGGCGAAAAAGCGGACTGTTGTATTCCTTTGGGCGACAAAACTAGTAATTCCTTAGGCAACTAGTAATCCCTTAGATCGCTAGCAGACTGAATGTAGGGGCGAAGAAAATCAACTGAAAAAGTTCGAGTTGCGTAGGTGGGGTTTTGAAATATAGCAGTTTTTTTTATCTCGTATACTTACACATAAATACGTCGGGAATGGCTGCACTACTTCGCCACAGATTCATATTCGGGGTATTCTCCAATGCTGTAGCCGACAACCGTGCCATTGACTTCGGCCTTGTTCTTTCCATAAAACGAAAAGAGAATATCCTTTTGACTTTTTTATACTTACATTTATTTCATATTACATCTATTGAAGTGCTCGAAAGTGCGTAAGTGATGTTTTTAGCGCAGTTTCAGGTGACCTGTCCCGAATGTGAGCATTCGTTCTGTGCCATATGTCGCTACGAGAAGTGTATTTGTTCGGAAACGACTGCCACCGAAGAAACTATCGAGCGCACCTGTCGCAAATGTCCATCCTGTGGTGCTCCGACCGAAAAAAGCGGTGGTTGCTCGCATATGCATTGCATCCAGTGCAATTCGCACTGGTGCTATCTGTGTAGAAAACCGTGGAGCAACGAGTGCCAGTGGGACCATTGGTTCGATTAACTTTCAGAAACCAGCCCAGCATGGAGATATGAATTTTGTTCTCTTCTGTATTGTATGTTCTGCCCCCCCTCCCCCCGCTCTCTTTCCCCGCTCCTTTCACCCCCTCTGGTCCCTTGCTTTTTACCTCTTATGATACTGTTTGAATTTCCGAATGACGGCTGTTTTGTTTTGTTCATGTGATAATTTTCAAATTCGGGTAACTCACGTGCGTGTTATTTTGAACTGTAAAACTCAGAAATGAAAACAGTTTCACAAGAGATTGGGAAATGGGTGCTTATTTGGAGAAACAGGAGGTTGAGGAGAAAATTTATCAGGTTTTATTGTTGTATATTTCCTGTTCTTGGTAAAGTGTCTTGATTTAAGACAAGGCGGTAGTGCTTTATATACGTCAAGGAAAACTCGAATTATAGCTTTGCCAAGCACCCTTTTGGGAGAATCGTCCAGTTAGTAGTTTTTTCATTATGCGACTTAATGGACCGAAACATTCAATTCAATTTTCATTTTTATTTTTTTGTTTTTACTTTTATTTTTTTACAACCTTTTTCATAATCATAAATGTTTTTGTAACCCTTTCCATAAATATCTAAATTTAAATCCAAAAACGTCAGAAACGATTGACTATCAGACGATGCAGCATCGATCAAAGCAATACGTAAATGAAGAACGAGACTTTGTCTTATATAGTGCCTCAAGTACTATTGTATATAACTTATTTCTGTGTAAAAATTGTTTTTTTTTTTTCTTTATTTTTATCGTATGTGCTTGGCCTTCGACAGTAATTTGCTCATAGAATGCAGCATTTATTTTGTTGATTGATTGGCAACAGGGTTTATTTGCATTTAGCAATAAACTATAACAAATTACATGTTTACGCACAATGTAAAAATTTTCAAAATTTTAATTTTCAAATAACAAACAACTTGAACAAAACTACGGTTATCCAGAAGTTTCCAATAGTTTCAGCCTCTTCTCATTGAGCTTCCTTTCTTCGCGTGCCCGGCGTTTGATTCCTCTCTTGATTTTTGCGTACACTCGTTTGCGTTTCTTCGGAATCAGCATCTCACGTAATTTGAGCTCATGCCCCTGGAAAAAACGCAGTAAAAGCTCATATTCGATATGAAATGTCTGATCCAAACCAATCTACTAGCCCGAACAAATTTCGCTTCAGCAGTTGAAGAAATGTGCCTACGGAATCATCAAAAATTTTTATCAAACCGATGTCCCAGGAATTTTACTGGGATGGTTCTTGTATTACAATTACGTAAAGTTCTTAAATAAATCAGCTTTAAAACCCAAAAGTCGGTACTCCTTTTGGTAAAAAACTTCATCGTAGTGTAGAAAAAACTTCATCGTAGTCATTTTTTATTAGTTTCAAGACCAAACACTAGCATCCAACATAAACCAGTGGCAATTTAAAACGACTAAAATCTTGCTAAAAGCTTTTTTTTTTGAAAAAAACCACTGAGTTGGTAATCCCTTTAGGGAATGTAATGAACATCAGAGTCGCCAAAAAACCCAGCATCAGTTGATGCACCACTGGTCAAAGCAATTGGGAAGTTGCCAGCTATATAAACAGAGATCTAGATCATACATAAAAATTTAGGTTTAGATAAAAGACCATTGTTTCTGACCTGTTCGTTGAGCTTTTTCTGCTTGTTCTCTTTATACATTCTGCCTTTTTCCACTTTCATCGTCACTTCTTTTTCTTCTTTCTTGCTCGATTGC